CACTAGGGGCTTTAATGTGAAGGTGACAGGGAGCTCTTTGTGCATTTAGAGCACCATATCTTCTAAATAAAAGATCTGTAGACTTGATAGTGGAGTATAGCTCTGACTTTAATAATCTCCAAGCATTAGACCGAGCCAATATGTTCCCAAGTCAGAAGGGTCCCCCACCGAACGCTCGTAAATTAAAAGTGCAGGAACTGCACACATTCATGGATTAGAAATGCAAGAAGTGCAGTCTATCCCCAGGCGGAGAGGAGGTGTCTGTGCTCGTGCCACCGTCCGAGTCGGCGGCTAAAGAGTCCCGAACGGTCCGGTCAGGAGCACGGCTCTTTCTGGCATCCCACCTCAGCTTGGTGCTCCTGGTCGGCCTTGCTGCTGTTTTACTTTCTAATGACATGATACGTGGCAGGGAAGAGCTGAGTGATAGAAATGAACGCTCTAAGATCTGTTGAGGCTTGACTGCACATAATAGCAGTCAGGTTTTAAGTTCCTACATTGTGTTTTCTGATGAGACATTCATTCCGATCATTTCTGCCTGTTTATGAAAAATAGGCTGTTTATAGTATGTGCATGTGCCTTTCCTGCTTCAGGTTTCTGGCAGATAATATAAATTGTGGGATGGGAATTGCAATTATTGAAATTATTCGGCTAAAAATCTGGCACTTATATTTGATATAAACACATGATATGCTCTGAATAATAACAGCACTTATGTTACATAATGATTCCCATTCAAGCCCTCCGCTGTCATTTTTTCAGATCTTTCATCTTTGATGAGACATATGAGCCAATCAAGTTTGCAGCCAAACCAGCTTTGCAGTGAAAGTCTCAAGTAACCAGCAGCTCACTTTCTGAAAAGGAGCACAGAGAAAGCAGCTGGTCATCATGGGTTTGAGTGCTAGAAAATGATTAATATGCATATGATGTGCCTATAAACCTGTTGAGGTTGGTCTTTTAAAGGCTGAAAAGGCTGCTAGAATGCTGACTCTGCTTTGTACTTTCCAAAAGATCCTCTGAAGTAAAAAGAAATGCAGTTTCCCATTACAGTAGGGAGAGTGGCTTTTGGAGGACCAAATGAAGTAAGTGTTGACAATGCTGCCCATGTATTTTGTAAGCATGTGGTATCAAAGGTTGCGTTATCTGGAAAATAGTGTGTGTTCTCGCAGTCGTGGGCTGAGCTTGAACATGTGCAGTTGTAGAACTAGCACTGCCTTCTGACCACTGGGGTCCTCGTCCTTTTGTTGAGATGGGGGTGCAGAGGAAGCATTTTGTCCTGTGTCCCCTGTTAAATGCACTGCTTTCTGCACACTTGAAAGGTTTGTCTTCAGGAGCAAAGGAAGGGGAGACTGAGTGGCTCATCCGAATCTGACCCGGGTCCCTAGTGACCAGGAGGCTGTTTGGCATCAGCTAGGCAAGGAGTAGGTGGTGGCAGTCCTGCTTTATCGGTTGTGGTTCATGGTGGTGCTTGGAGGGGCAGGAGGGGAAGGACTGCTGGTATTGGGGAGAGCAGACCTGTTTGCTGACACCTTCCAGCTGCACCTCACTCCGAAGTGTCCGACCCGCTGCTGCCGAATTGAAAAAAGTAAATTATATCCAAAATGCCAAGGAGCTGGGATAACATGTGGGAAAGCAGTAGTAACAGAAGCGAGGGGTCCTCACTAGAGACCTCAGAAGGGGCAAGTATGGCATCTCTGTCTGGGGCCAGTCACCCACAGCAGCTTCCTTTCACTGGTAGCATGTCAAACTGGGTGGACAGAAACATGGTTTCTGAGCTTTCATGGGGCGGAAAGAATTTTAATCTAAAGCAAATTTTCTTGTGCCAGAAGCTTACAGTCTGGTGCTTTGCTGTTCATGGCTGCTCTTTTTTGTCTGTGTTTGCCATCAGATTAAGCACAAAATCAGAGGTCAAATTTTGCCAATATTCAGGTATATGTGTATTGTGTATCTCAGCTTTAAAGTCCTGGAGCCTGTTCTTTCCCACCTCTCTTGCTGGACCTTTCTTGATCTCTGGCCTATGGCAGCTGACTGTGGTAGCTGCATCTTTGACTGTTCCCTGGAGTGCTAGTAACCGTTCTGCTAGGAAGGACCTGCTTTGGGAACTTAACCCTTCCACGCACGTGTTTGGCCGTTAAACAGACCCCTTCTCTAAGCCTCGGGCTAATGCTACTTTCACTTCTTGACCTCCTCCTTTATGTGACTCGGTGTACCTCCCTGATGGACCCAAACTCTCCCGGTTTGAAGTTTACCCTTTTGACAGATTCTGGTCATATCAGATGCAGGATTTAATCCTGTGCCATCTTTTCTCCCACATGCTTGTTTCTAGCGTTACTTGTCTAACTGATTTGGCAACATTTCTAAATCCACTTGTGCCTCTGCTGACCGTATGTCTTATTGAGGAACACCTGAATCCTTTGATTGCAGAAGCATCAATTTTGGACTTCTCCAGCAGATATATTCTGTTCTACCCTCAGATATTTTCTTGCAGAAACATTTATACAGCAATATGCATTGCACCATTTAAGATTGTTAATTGGAGATTGAATTACTTGTCAGCCTTTAAAAATGTAGTCCTCTGAGGTCAGAGATGAGGTGGTTAGCAGAGCTGAATGGATGAGCTATTGCATTCATTTTTTTCTCAAGCCCAATGATCACTGTCTGTAAGCTGGCTAGCCCTTCAGTGCCTTTTAACCTCTGGCACCCAATTCAGTCTGCAGCTGTATGTGTGAAACGAGTTGGCAGGATCTCTGGGAGTCCTGAGAAGACAGAAGAGCACCCGTGCAGAAGCAGGTATGGGGACCAGCACCCAGCCTAGCAGGGTCCCATGAAGACAACCTCTTTAACCCCTTGACTGCGCAGTTTCCGCACTGGGCAGCGGAGCGCTTGCTTTGCCTTTGGGCTGTGCTTAAGTCAGGGTCTGATTTAGAGCTTGCCCGTGCCCATAGGACTTACCCCTCCTGCTGCACTCGGCACAGGTGCAAGTGCACATGTGTGGACATATATGTCATACAAATGAAGGCCGCGAGTGCTCGTCGGTCCAGCTTTTAAATGCAGCTTGGGACTCCGTTGCCTCTGCTGACAAGCACTGACAAGTAAATACTACGCTCGCTCAGTATTACAGAGGGATTTCATTTGCACAGCCCCTCACAATGCTCTGCCACTTCACTGAAATGTCTGGAGCACTCGGGAAAAGGAACTGCATATTTATCTTGATCTCCAAAAAGGGATTTAAGGGCGAGAGCAGGCGGTATATTAGACTGTTTTCATTGCCTGTCAGCAGTGGTAAACCTGAGCTGTCTACAGTGTCTCTAGATAAGCAGCAGCAGAGGCCCATTTTGCATGTACATACTTTTGCATTAGTTCATAGATGGGGAGTTTAAATCCCCTTTATTTTTATTTTCCTCTGTGGAAAGCATTTAGCTAGGCTTGTGCCTGGCATCTGGAGGCCTGTGCTTTGCTTTTCCTTGAACCTAAATCTATGCTCCTGTCTCTTCTACCATGCCCTTTTCATGGCACTGGTTTTGTCAGAGGAAGATGAAGGTGTTTGAGCTCAGAGGGGAGACCCGGGAACATCTCTGTGCAAAACCACAATGCTTACATTGACTTCTAAATTTTGGGGTTAGTTGCATAACTTCTGTGCCTCGGTTTCTTCTGTACGTAAATCTCAAGTGACATCTGTCTCACGGGGAGTTTTGTGAGGATCATCTAGTGCTTGTAAAATGCTGAGTTTTGTGAAATGTCAGACCACTGGGCCTTTTCTCCTCCAAAGGAAAATAAATTTGGAGTTAGCAAATGATAGCGTTGTGCCTTACTGGTTAGGCAATGCTTTCGATGGGCACAGTAGCCCCCTGACCCCAGCTGTGATTAACTGTTGTTGTGGAGGAAGAAAGCTAATTGCTTGAGTATAATTTTAGAACCAGATCAAAATTTTCGATTCTCATATCCCTTTAGCATTGTCTTACTTTCAGCCCGAAAGGTCAAATCCTGAGAAATGTGGAGTTCCCCTATACTATGGGTGAGGTGAGTTAGGCCCTGAGCTCTCGTTGTAGGACATCGGGATGAGGATGAAGTCAGACCCAAGCATCCCTTCCATAAGGACCGGGTTGCCTTGGGCTCCGGGCTGCTCCTCTCTCGGGGTAGCCCTTCTTCCTAAAACGAGCTGTGCTGGTTGGTTGGTGGGGGAGGGCAGGTTGTTTGTGTGTGTTTGAGGGTTTGTTGTGGGTTTTTTTAAGATCTAAATGAAGCAGGTATGTAATGCCCTCTGTCTGTTAGAAAGACTCAACCCATAAAAATAACAAACGGCATGTATTTGCTAGAATGTCAAAGTTATGAGTTTATTTTGTAATGATGTGCTCCTGCCTTCATGAGGTAAACTGGCCGTGGCAGAGGTGTTATTAGTAATATGGACTCAGTGGAGCAGAAAGCCGAGTGACCGAGAGATCAGTGTATCAGTCAGTGAGAGGGCAAATGGAAAGAGACAGCAGGAGAATGAGAAAAGAGCTGCGGTGCCTGGGCTGAGATTAGAGATGGAGCTGTGCAAGAGAATTAGAAGCCCAGCAGTCAAAGTCTTATTCTTTCCAGTCTCTCTAAGGAGCTGGTGGGGCTTTGTCTTTGCTATACCCATCTTTATGCACGGTCTTGGGTTTTTCCCCCAATTAAAGGTTTAAGTGGGTCCACCCTACCAGTCTTCTCAGTTGGAGCAATTTTCAGTTAGTGAGCTGAGCCCGTTGCTGCTTGGGGAAAGGCAAGTCATGTAACTGCCCTCTGCCTCAGTTTCCCTACTTGTATGATTCCCCTTGGGGATCACTGTTCATAAGGCCTTACCTGCAAACAGAGCTTGGGAAGGTCTATTGCAAGTGGTTTGCTCCATCCTTTGGTGTTGAAGTGATCATGACTTGCTGCAGGGATGGACTTGTATGTATCTCCTTAGCCCACACCTCTTTGTTGCATCCCATCCGCTGATGGTTTTCCTTTTTTTTTTTTTTTTTTTCTTCTTTCAAAAGGTGCTTGGACGGGAAGTTTACACCTCCAACAACCAGCTGGGTGGGATCCAGATAATGCACAACAACGGAGTAACGCACAGCACTGTGTGTGACGATTTTGAAGGAGTCTACACTATTCTGCAGTGGCTTTCCTACATGCCAAAGGTAATTTCTGGCCCTGCAGGAGTGCACGGTGCCACTACCTATTCGCTTTGTTCACAGGGTTTTGGGGAGTGGGTGGCACTCTGTGGGGGTTATTTTGTGTTTGTATGGTGCCTAGCAAAATGGTTTAGGCTCATGATCAAGGCTGTTAAGCATTATGGTATTGAAGTAAACGAGGTAGTTTTTGTCTTAAAGTGCTGCAGGAACTGGGATGCGGGACAGCCTGGTGCTGCCTTGGGTACTTTCACATCACTCCCCTGGCGTGCTGCCCTCAGTACTCTGGGCAGCAGGGTTTTATGTAAGCAGTGGATTGTCTCTTACTGAAAAGACTCTAAAAGTTCCCCTCTGAGGCAGTAATTTCTGGGAGTTGATGTATATGTGTAAGCTGCTCTGCAGCCAGGAAGGTAGCAACAAGAACACGCAGGTCACCTTCCTTCAGGAAAAAAAAAGAGTCAGGTGGCCTGATCACCTTTCAGAAATGAAATTGCAACCCCTCACTAATGCTGGCTATGCCTGAAGTTCAAGAGCAAATTAAGTACAACGTATGCCAGATGATGCCACAGGAGAGTTTGAGAGAGTGCATGGAGCATCTTGGACACCTTGGAATTTTCTTCAGGCTCTCACCAAGGCTCTGGGATCCCATCAGTCAAAAGGCTGTGCAGGGTGGGGAAAGAAGACTCTGGCTGGGTCCTTTAGAGCTGGTGTTTGGTGCAAAGCCATGCAGGAGAATTACTTCCTTCGGTATTTTTCTTTTTCCCTTAGAGTGTATACAGCCCTGTTCCTATCCTCAAAGTCAAGGATCTTATAGACAGAACCATAGAGTTTGTTCCTACCAAGACTCCCTATGATCCTCGCTGGATGCTGGCTGGACGCCCAAATCCAAGTACGTAGATCTTTGGTGGCCAGGATGTGCAGTAATGCGTCTTGTTTCAAGGCTGTTTGTCAAGGCTGTGTGTCTGCAATCCAAATATATTTCAGAGCTTATAAAGTAATTAGTTCTAAACAATTTGAATATAATATATAAAAATAACACATAAATTCCGAGTGCTTCACAACACCTATATTATTAGTTACTGCTATAGATTTATTTTTTTTTTTAGTGGTTCAGAGGAAAGTCCATGTACAAAGCGTCTGTACGCTAAAGGAATCACAGTATTTCTGCAGATCTTGGAGAATAATTGTATTGGAAACACTGCAAACCATTGAACCCCTGTGCATGCTTTTGGGGTTGTGCAGCCTGTGTACGTACAAGCTGCAAACTGGGTGACCATTATGCCTACTGTTATTAATGAGTTTGGGGGGCTAAAATGAGATTTGTGATAAACTAAGTTTTCTGGTTTTGGATAATATTTTTTCATCATCTCTCAAGTAATTCATCCAGCTGTCTGAGTGCAGCTAACGCTGGCTTCCAAATCGAGTGACTTCAGATTTTAATTTAGTGGAAGCGTTAAGGAAAGCAGATGATTCCCTGTGATAAGTTAAAGCAGATATCTCCTAGGTGAAAAGTTAAAGCCATTTATTAGAGGAGATATTGCCGTGATATTCTTCAAACTGACGCCCGACACGAGGCCAGAATCTAAACGATCAGCTTTGGGCTCACGATAAAGAGATAATTTTGAAATGGATGGTCACATTTTACAGTGGGGCCACAGAGGCAAGGAATGTAGAACACAGTAATTACAAGTTTGGTCTTGATAAAACACTCTCCATCCTGTTTAAGTCAGCAGAGGTTAGCTTGCTTGGATCTCCACTTTTAATTGGTTTTGGACTTGGGTTTGCAGAAGCAGAGGTGCTTGTTCAGATTAAAGCATTCTTCAGAAGCTGTGTGCCAAGGGGTAAAGCTAGGAGGGATTCTGGTTTGGGGTTTGTTTTGGGTGTGGGTTTTTTTGTTTTTTGTTTTTTGTTTTTTTTTTCAGAGGTTCATGGAGCCCCAGTGGAAAGCAGGTGTCCCCAGAGAGTTGTGATTTCTGTAGTTGTCTGAGTGGGTAGAGTATCTCGATGCCTTGACTTTGGACTATACAGGTTGTACAGGCTGGAGGACGGCAGAAAGAGAGTCTGTCTGCAAATCTTCCTTGTCGCTCCCCAATCCAGCATCAGCAGTCAACCCAAATGAAAACTCTCCATCATGGCCTTACCTGTTCACTGGGGTAGGGTCTGAGCTGAAATATTGGAATACCTTTCTGCCACAGTCTTCCTGTCTGGAGAGCGCAAACAGTGCCGTGCCACTGCACAGGTCAGCGTAGCGAGGCTTAACTTCCGTGCCCGCTTAAGAAACACCCGTGGAAAATAGAAATATGCTGTAAACTGCCACCCTGCTTCCCGTGGGCGTAATTGCCATCCTGAGAATTTTATTTGAAGGACTGTATGTGGATTGTTAGTGAACAGCTATGTTGTTGCACGTGGGAATGGAGAGTTACTGTCAATATATTGGGGTCTGTGATGCAGGAGGAACTCGAAGTATTATAAAGCCAGTGCAGTATCAAGGACAAATAATACTAGTTCATAGTTAGCATGATCAGCATAATCAAGCCCTCACACTTCAGGGTAGAAGCTGATTGTCTACCAGGGTCAGGAAAAGTTTATTTCTCTTAGAACTGCACAGTCATCTTGGTAATGTTTTCTTCAGGGAATGGTTTGATTTGTCTCAAGCGTGAGGAAGTTGCTGCCTTCCTTGGGGAACAGAACAGGTCTGATAGCGTACGGTCTGATCCAGGGTGGTGACTCTTTGAGCATACTTTGGTTTAGGGAGAGGTGCATCATCTGGTGTCTTCTACGGAGCAAGCAGGCTTTTGCTATCGGAGTACTTCAGTTTGTCTAAAAAAATGTGTGAAACGTGCTCAGATGTGTGGTCTAGTTTTAAAATATCACAGAAATTTTTATATTTGGTTCCTGGATTTCTTCAGCATTCTTTCTTTAGAGGAAAGATTAGGCAGAATCAAGAGAAAAATGTGAGATAAGTTTTAAAATAGAAGTAGGCATTTTGAAAATGACTTTACTGCCTTTTGACAAATGTTTGTGGTGTCTTGAAAAAAACAGTTATTTATTTAAAAGCATGCGAAGTCCCTCTGCTATCCGAACCCCATCGTTTAACAATAAATGATGCTTTTGCTGATAAATTACTGTCTTTATGCAGACTAGCAAATGAAATAAGACATGATGGCTGAAGGCAGACAAATGCTCAGCTGTCTAATGTTCCCTTGTATTGTAATCTTTTAATAAATAAATAAAAAGACAGTGCCACGTTCTCCAGTTGGCATTTTTAAGCAAATTTCAGTTGCTCCTTTGATATTCTTTCTTCCATCCCTTCTCTGATATTTCCCTTTTTTTCCCTTCCCTTTAGGTCAAAAAGGACAGTGGCTAAGTGGTTTCTTTGACAATGGCTCATTCCTGGAGATCATGCAGCCCTGGGCGCAGACAGTTGTGGTTGGTAGAGCAAGGTAAATTCTAAGAGGTGTTTTAGACATTTGTTGAAATCAAGTTTTCATTATGCTTTGCATTTTTCTAGAACATCCTTTGAAAGTTGATGGCTATAAGTAAAAATAAGTCATTACTTGAATAGAATACTTCTTTTCTACGTGAATGCAGCACAGTCTGATCATTTCTCCTGTTTTGCTTGGAGATGACAGCTTTAACATGCACAAAAGCCAAAAAGAGAGATATTGTTAAAAATTATGGCAGACAATATATGCTTCCCTAGGTATATGGTTGCATAGTGAGGCCGCCTTGCAGCTCCAACTTAGTTGAAGATAACATTGCGCAGTTTATTGTTTTGCATTTTATTTGACTTACCAGAAAAGTTCAGCTAAAACTAGAGCAAATGGCAAGAAACTGCATAGACGAGAGCTTAATGTTGAGGTTGCGTGGAATAACTTGCAGCATTTTCCAAACCAGCACCTGCCACACCTGATCTTAGTTGTTTTTCATGATGCGGAGTTGTGCAGCTCCAGAGACCTGTGGCACTGGCCCTTTCCCAAGGGGGGTCGCTTCCCCTTACCTTGCTGCTTGCCCCTTACCTCTGCAGGATTCTAAAATATTCCCTGTTGCCTCGAGATTTAGATCCCTGCCTTGAAAATATTTGCAGACTGGGTCATTCTCAGTGTTGCAGGTCCGCGAACTCCCAGAGCTGGCAGAAGCAGGAGCCTGGAGATAGGATCCTGTATTTTGACAGAATGCAAATCAGAGCTGGGCTCAAAACCCTCTCAATCACCTCTTTTCTAGTTTCTTCTCTAGTTTTGTGCCCCCTCCCCCAAATGGCACTGTGAGTTTCCTGATCTGATTGTTTACTTCCTCTCGGAATAAAGCCGTTTTGAAAGAGCACATTTATCTCCCTTGAGTTTCCACTACAAGTGCTTGAGCTGTCGAAATGCAGCATGCTGATCCTTTGTCACTCCTCAGTCCTCAGACTACCGCCAGCTCTCCTCTCAAGACAGAGCTTCGTACTCTTGCCTCCAGCAGCCTCCCAGCTCCTAATTGATGTCAGTTTTTTTGGTTAATTGTCAGCCTTTTTTTTTTTTTTTTTAATCCTTTTGTTAGCAAGTGAGAGAGGAGAGAAGAACCTGAAGTGCCTGAATGGGATCCTGCAGGCTTCAGGTGTTACACTTAATGAGATACGGTTATGCCTGAGCATGACGGGTGTTCAGAGTGCCTCAGTTGCTAGCGGAAGTCTGCATCAAAGAAAAATCTTTTATTTACAGATCTTTCACCTCCTGTGCTGTCAGTATCACAGTGCCAACAATCCAGAGCCAAATGACCTGATAAAGCTTACAGTCTTCTGGAAATCCTGTGGCCACCCCTGGGGTCTGACTCCATCAGCCTCTAGCCTCACCAAACTGGTGGCTCAGGGACTGACCATAGTACCAGGATATCCCTGGCGATGCTCTGTTTGATTACCGGAGCGTTCAGTGAGAGGGAGAGACCCCACTGTTGCTGAAACACGCAGCACACCTGGGATAGCCACCCAGGCTCCCAGCCAGTATAGCTATGGATGAGTGCTGTTTCTTATCTCCATTATGTTGATAGCACACGTGGCCCCAGGGTATTTGGTACTGGGAGCTCCCGTTTCTCTTTTAGACTTTCTAAAGCTCTACAGCTTTAGATAGACTTTCTACAGCTCTACAGAGTCCTCCTGATGAGGGTCAGAGAGCCAGAGGTCACACTATGAAATAGCAAAGCTTGTGACGTTTGCTGGAGGTCATGTGCAACATCTCAGAGGATTATGTCCATTCTGGACACCTCTAAAATGGCCATCAGGAGCTCTGTTAATGTGTTAGTGAAGTGCTGCGTAATAACTGAAAGAGGCTTCCAGATACGAGGATGTGCTTAGCAAAATGTCCCTCTGTAGCTCTTTTCTTAAGATTTTCGAGGGTATTTAATGGGTTTAGAACTGCCTTTGGACTCTCCTAGTGCAGAATGTGATATGGAGAAACATACCCGTTCCCTCAGATAGCATGTCAGGGCAGGAGGAGGCGTCAGTGCTGGAGACAGAGCGACGGGGCAGTGTGTGGGCTGCACAAGCCCAGCAGAGACGAGCTGGTGCTGAGCCGAAGGGACGTTCGGGTGCAGATGCAGCCCAGCTGTGCCGCCTTGGAGTTCTGTGTCTCTGACCAGTGCTGGTCCCAGGGGTCGTGAGTGCTGTTACCCCTGAAGATCATCCTTTCCACTCAGAATATTGTCTGATCTTTATACGTTGTTGAGAGGAGCTGAAAATACCTGCTGACTCTACTCCTAATTGTAGCATGTAACCTTGGGATGTCCTGTGACCTTTTGATACACTTCGATATTTTTATCTGCCGTCCGTGACCCTCTAAAGTTTTATCTCACAACGTCCTATAATTATTTCAAGGCTTTTAGGTTAAGCAGTATACCGAGGGGCGGGGAGAGGGGGTGGAATCAGTGATTTGGCAAAGCTGGAGGGTCTCTGTCCAGGCCTGTGCTCGCCTTCACTTGCAGTTCCTTCCTCCTCACAAATTCTGAGTTGCGTTGGACTCTCACATACAGGGATATATAATACAAATGAAACTGACTTCTTTCAAAAGCAGTGGCATTTTGAAAAAACAAATAGGAATGTATTCTTCTGGGATTGTTACTGTAAGTGCTGCCAAAACTCATCTTTTGTATGTATGTTTGGAATACGTGTGCTGTTGGCTGTAAATTGTCTTTTATTATTCTATGGCAACTTGTCCAGGGACACACTATAAAACAAGATGTAGCATCTTCATGTGCTAGCCTGATAAAATTTATATGAAGTATAATGGAAAACAGAAGTTGTTTTGAGCTGTTTTCAAGTTCAATAAATAACTGTAATACTTGGATAAAGATGTTCTTTATTAGGTCACATGGGCCCTAATATAGAAGTTATAAGTTACCGATTTAAGACGGCTTCTGCAATTACGGGTTTCTAGGCAGACTCTTAATCATAGTGAATGGGAATATTTCCAACCCCCTAGTGCACATAGGCCTTGTCGCTTTTTCTGGCTGCAGCGTGTGTCATCCAGCTCGAGGTGGTTGAGCAGAGAGTGCAGGCTCTGCTGGGACTCCCGTCCTGGGAGGAAGCAGTTGTCATCGCAAGCAAGATGTCTTTTGTGTAAAGGAGTGGTTAGACGCTGTGGAAAGCGGAGCTGAGCGTCCTCCATGGTGCCTACGCTCCCTGCCCATCTGTCCATCACCACACCCTTCCCACCCTTGCAGTCATCCTGCAGGAGAGGGTCTGGGGAGCAGACCGATGGGCAAATCCAAACCTTTTACCGGTCGTTCACTCTAACCTCTTGGGAGAGGGAGTTTTTGTAATCAGTGGAGGTTTAGGGTGGCTGAGGCAGCAGCATTGCTTAGACGTGCAGCCTGTGTATGTATGTCATCAGCTGATGGTGCTGGTGGAAACAGGGCTTGGGAAGCCTTGAGTCTTCGTGTTTATTGTTCATGATCAAGACCATCAGTATCAAAATCTGTGTGGTGGCAGGTAAAAGGTGGTGGAGATGCAGCTGTGTTGTTCAAAATTTGGGCTTTGGTTTATTCTATTTAATTTTTAGTGAGGTATGTGCTAGTTTTTGGAGCTAGGTTTTGCTTTGAGAACTGAGACTTCTACTCTGAAATTCTCCAGCCACATGCCAAAACTCTTCAAAAAGGCCAGAATGCTTCTTCCACTATTTGCTTGCATTATTTGTCTCTCTTGAGTATTTTGATGCAAATTGGAAAAAATGTCTAGTTGTGTAACAATAGAAATATGCATTTTGATTTGTCTCACATGTTACCAGGCTGGGAGGAATACCTGTAGGAGTAGTTGCCGTAGAAACGAGAACAGTGGAGCTCAGCATCCCTGCTGATCCTGCAAACCTGGACTCTGAGGCCAAGGTAGGTTGAATGTGTGCTCGGTTGCTTGTTTGTTCTCTGCAAATGTCTCTGTGGAAAGAGCACTTGTTTTGATGGGATTTTTTTCCCCCAAATGTGGGAGAAAAAAGTATAGCTGTTCCTTGGTGAGGCGCTAATGTGTGGCAGTTGCTGGGAGTGAATGGACAGTTGCGTTGACCGTTTGTACAGGAGTCACCTTCCCCAGCAGTCCTGCGTTTCTTATGACTTAGATGAGGTGCAGGGACTAGGGCCTGGGAGATGTGGCAAGCAAAAATAATTTCCCTGTTCTCTTGCTGTAACCATAGTGTTTCACGGTCTTTCTACTCTGACATTTTGCTTTTCTCCTGCCTGATTTTACAGCTCTGTCCCTACATCAGCTCTTCAGGGTTTTCTCCTTTGCATATCCTTTTTTCTTTCTTCTTCTTGACCTTCTAACAGCAGCCATAGTGTCAGGCTTTCCGTACCATCTCTATCCTTTTTCTTAGCTACATCAGTGGGAACACTCCTGTTGGTATTGATGGCAAAAGGATTGTCCCGATTTTTCCGTAGGCAAGCAGATCCTGAGCTGCATTCCCATTAATTCCACATCACAGCTCTTGTTTTATCTATTTCTATGTTTTTATGCCAGCTCTTATGTTAATGTGTTTCAAGGCTTAACAGTCTTTTTTTATCCCCAACAGATAATCCAGCAGGCTGGTCAGGTGTGGTTCCCTGACTCTGCCTTTAAGACTGCGCAGGCTATCAATGACTTTAACAGAGAAGGGCTGCCTCTGATGGTCTTTGCTAACTGGAGAGGCTTCTCTGGTGGAATGAAAGGTAACCATCAGTTTGGATCCCCTTTTGGTGTCGTCCTGTAGCGTGGCTTGTCTTTTACTGCTCAGGGCACCGCTGCCGCTCCCCGCCGCGGCATACCCAATGGCACTAACTCTACTGGTTTAGCATCCTGAAGCAGTTCTCTGGGGACAGACCAGCAGTGGGAGCCTGTGGCAAGGGACAGAAGTAGGTCCTGTCTGTGGGAGGAGCTACCTATTAGATTGGTTTAACTGTGGTGGCAACTTGTACCCGTAAACTTGCAGAGTGGATCTGCTTCACCCGTCTTTGATGCAGTCTACATCCAGCCCCCCTCCTTTGTGGCAAGTATGTGACCTTCCTGGGAAATGCTAGTGAGGGGATACTTTTCTAGGCCTAGCAGAGTGTTTGGACTTATCAGCCCTCTGAAATCATGGCAATGCTCTGCCTGGCTCTCCTTGAAAGTCAGTTGTGATCGTTGCACAGCCAGCTAGAGGAAAGGGACGCTCTACGCTGCAGTAGCTGTGGTGACAAAGGGTTTCCTTCTCCTCCTCCCCATGTGTGTCTTGTCTTTCGTAGGCACATGGCAGGAAAAACATAGAACGTGCAAGGTACAAATGTGATACCAAGTTCTTTTCAAAAGATGCCATATAACTGTGGTTTTGTATGTACCCTCACATACAGTTATAGGAGCTGGCCATCATAGAATCATAGAATCGTTTAGGTTGGAAAAGACCTTGACAATCATCAAGTCCAACCAAGTTTCATCTGCAGTAAGAACAGGCCATTGGGTGTTAACAGTGGTCTGGCTGCTAACAAAATTTACATCTGCCAGCCTGGGCTAGTTAAACACTAATCTCAGGAAACCCCTTCTGCTCAGAAAGCTTTATATCCTTCTACCTCAGCTTAAAAGTGGGGCTGAATAAGCCAACAATATTGTATATTAAAAATGTATAAGCATATTCTGTCAACATTGCCTCATTGATGATTTTTCCCGCTGTAATACTGTCCTGTCAAAGACTGTCTCCCAGTTGGCTCTTTTGGTGGCAGTGATGATCAGAGAAGTGATCAGTTATAAAACTGCTGAATTAATATCCCAGCAGTTAGATTGTTGCACCACATATTGCTACTTTAAATTTTTGTGAAGTGCCAAGAATGTGAGATTGATACTATAAAATTTAAATAAGTAAAAGATTACGGCCTCTTACCTGCATGTGGCAGTTAACAAACACAGAAGAAAAGTTACAGATGCACTAACATGGTGAAAATTCCTGCTCTGGAAGGACTCGCAGGGTGCAAAGATGGAAGATGGCAAAATTCTTTCATCTGGAAAATACCTGTTACCTTTCAGGATGGTTTCTGCACCATGTGCTGCTTTGACACTCCCTTTGTGGCTTGCTTTCCCTTCCGCACAAAGTTGTTGATGTAACTGTTCCAAGCATTCGTTAAATATTATTTTGCCTTACTACGTTGCGAGATCTGTCAGCTTTGCCAGTGCCTTTCCCTGGGTTCCTCAGAAACCGAGTTTAGATTTGGAGTTGGGACCAGAAGCCCAAGGTGGAAAAGGCACTAGAAGGATGCTAATGTTTATGTTGCGTATCCCCACTTACCCACCCCAGCTGGGAGGAAGAGGAGGAGGAAAGGGCCGCCGCAGCGGAGGGAAGAACAGAGCCATTGCTGTTTGCACCTCAGTCCGTGTGTTTTCCTGCATCTTCTTTGCTGTCGGGGCCTGCGTAGCGAGTGTTGGGGTCTCCTGACACTCTCTGCGTTCCCTGGGGAGTTGTTTGCAGTTTTGGTTTCAATGCTGGCTGGGGATTATGCAAGGAGGGAAAATAAACAATTATGCCACCCCTCAGTGCACACAAACACACTGCCAGGAGCCGACTGCACTGTGGGTAAAATGACTCCAAAATTGTGTGTAATGAGTAGGAAAAGATTAGAGACAGCTCTTGCTATGCTGAAAATTGACATTAGTGGAGGGGGGGAAAAAGAGAGAAGGAAAAAAAAAACCCCAGACCTTTTTCCTAGTCGGCCTAGGAGGTCTAATTCAAGCTGTAAAATAAATAAATAAATAACATAAATAAAGGCATATCACAATGGTATTGGTGGTTTCCCCAATGAGCTCTATCTGGCCAGAAGGCTATTCAGCATAATGCAAAATTAAATTATAAAAACTGGCTTGAATATTTAGATGGAGGAGCCATTTGGAAGTGGTTTATTTAGGCGAACCGGCAGTGACCCACAACGGGGAGACATCAAGCGTGAAATTTACTGGAAATTAGCACCGGGGTCCTGGACGCGGCGTGAATAGTTTGATAGCATGCAAATCCCCGCGACATTAAACTGCCGCGCTGCTGGTGCTGCAGGGTCACTCGCAGTTGGTTTTTCATGTTTTACTTATTATTTTTTCCTGAGACAGGTTATAAATAACAATAAAAAAAATTTCAGCAGAGTGAAAAGGCTGTTTTAAATCTCTGATTACCTGGATGTTGAATGACGGTATTGCTTGTATGTAATGGGTTTATGAGGTACGTTACGTGTCTGCAGCCAATATACGCCTGGTGTTTACCTTCAGGTCCTAGCTGATAATCCCGCCGAGCTGATGAGATCCGTTCCAGCTTTGGAGGTTCAGGGCACGCTGCCCGACACTATGGAAATGCAAAAAGCTGTCTGCAGCCTTTCTAGCATGCTTGATGCATCTGACTGCCAATATTTACACATACAGTGTAATGATAACAGCTTCCAGCAGATTTCATGTCTGTGTGTAGTAGAGGCTGATGCACACTGCAGCGGAGCAGGCAGAGAATGGGAAGGTGTGCTGCCAATGCTGTCTGCCCTGCTCGGTAACCAACAACACTGCTCTTCCTAGAGGACTTCTGCAGCATTTCTGTCTTGCAGGTGACTGCTTATGCTGAGGTTGAAATTAATACAGGAATTAAATTTGGCCCAGAAATATAATATTTAATTTTAATTTTTCCACTCTCAACATAAGCCACTTCTTTGTAAGAACAGTTGTGCAAACAGCCTGCTCTTAAAATGTGCGTGGCGTTCTTTGCTGAACGGATGATAATGGAAGTGATTGGGTTTTGTTTTAAACGTGGTAAGTGTGTTAGTTGCAGTATTATATAAAGTCTGCACCCTACCGAGGCACTAGGGCTGCACGGGCACCACTGAGACCTGGCGTCATTTACCACCTCCAGCAGTTAAATTTGGTGCACTATTTTCCATTGTAAGAGTGGAGAATGCAGCAAAACGGGAAATAAGAGACAGTTGTCACAGTATCGCAAATTTTTCATAGTTTCACACTCAAATACAGTATTGATGTAAATTAGGAAGGTTGTGTGTTCTGGTGATTGGGTATGAGGACTACAGGCAGGTGTCTTGGGTTGTCTTTGCAGTATTTTTATGATCGTCATCAACTCTACTTGTATTTTACCTCTTCAAAGTATACATTCTTTAAGAGTCCCCACTTTGCGGAAATGGTGAGTGTAGGCAAATCGAACAGCTGAGATGTCAGGGGGAAGAGAAACCCTGCAGGAGAGCAGGAACCCTTCTGTAGCCTGTCAAAACCACGTCTCTGGAGCTCAGCCTGAAGCTGTGCGTGGCACCATGGGGACCCTTCGGTGGTGGCACGCAGGTTGATGATCTCTCCCTTATTTGAGCAAACCTTGATGTCCTTTAGTGGAAGCAGTTGCCATAAGAAAAGGGGAAATGCTCTACAGCAGAGGGATTTACAGCCAGATCTGAAAGTATTGAGATGTATCTGTAGCCCAGGAGTGGAGCAGCAGGTCCGCTGACCTCAGTGGGAGTTCTGAGCGTGCAGGAGAAGGCAGCAATTGGTGTAAATCTGTATATAAAATGTTAAACTAAAGCTGCTGGGACGTTCCAGGAAAAATGGAGTGCTGTATTGCAGGATCCCCAAAGCAGTAACTGTGTACAGAACCACATCGCGGTAAAGTTCATGCCTCTGGATAGCTTTGGAAGTCTGATCCTGAAAGTATTGTAGGCACAGAAATACTTCCCTGGCCTTGCTGATGCCACCTGGCAAACCTGGAAGAGTTTTGGAGCTAAGCACGGGAACCGTCAAGTTTCTCTCTGTTTCTCTGCGCCTCCTCCCTCTGCCTTGTTCAAACAAGCAGTGCTTCTTTTTTTCTACACTTAACCTGAGTAAAATATATACCCTTGGCAGGGGTGAAAAATGTATTGCTAATTACACAATTATTTTATTATGTAGCACTAGTAAAAAATGTCTAGTAAAGAATTAATTCAGTTAAAATAATTTGAATCAAGCAATTATTTTCTTAACACTAGAATTAGCTGAAAGTACTTCAAGTGGTTTATTACTAGCACTACATAATAAAATAATTGTACAATTAGTAATAAATTTGTCACCCCTTTTGAGGTCTTTTTCTTTGCTCAGGACAAAGGAAAAGGTTGGAGTTTTGTTTGGTTCTCAGTCCCCACTGTCTCTGCCAGAATTTATGTTTATTTGCAATTAGAAGAAATAAATTGTTCTTCTCTTCATCAGCATTTAACATTTCCTAAATAACATGAAACTCCTTTTCTTGGGTACTTGGACAATGACCTTGCAAATGAACTGGAGAGAGCACATCAGTGCCTATGCTGCTAATACATATATATACACACAACCTTTATATACACCTACCTTGCTTGCTCTATATGTGGTAGCGTGTTTAAATATATGTCAGGGTCTGCGTGTGTATGTCCCAAAGAGTTAAGTGCTTAATTATGTTCATGTTAAAGCTTAACATTAAAGTGAGGGTTAAATGACTAGGGCACCTTGGCTGGAGTCTCTTTCTTCCCCACAAATGATGGCTTTCTCCAGCGATATGGGGATTTTAGATGAATAAAAGTGTTTCAGTCTTTTAAGACTATTACTGAAGGCCGGCATGTGTGCGTGTACATATATGGAACCCACTCGGGTTTTTCTGTTCTATGCACTGGTATTTTAATGGCCAGAAAAAATTAGGCAAACTGGGAGGTGCTAAGCAAAGAACAAAAATGATGAAGGAGATTGAAAATACTGTCCTGGGAGACACGAGAAATGAATACCTATAGCGTGTCTAAGGAGAAAAAAAAACCAAAACAAAACACTGAAAAGCCTACTGCTATTTGTAGCAAGCCTGAAGGAGTGGAGAGATTATGTATGGTGACGCTAGGAGAAGTAATATGAATTTAATGGGGATGGGGAAGGAGGGGAAGTTTGGCTGAATACTGAGGAAAATGTCATCTATGTGGCTGTGGAAATGCCCCTAAAGAAGCAGTAGATTTATTGTTTGGGATTTCTAAATGAAAGTTTTAAAAAGCACCGTGAAAGAAACGTAGGATACAGTCCTGTGTGAACAAAAAGATGGACTAGATGATCCTAATAAGTATTTTTCATTTCTTGTATATTTGGTTTGATACTTCTAGATGTAATTATAAGTAACAAAATACATATATTCGAGGGTGCCTGTTTCTGTTAGAAACTATATCCATTATAAACTATACCATCGCATAGAAATTCTTTTGCTTTCCTTTTTTTCTCTTTTATTTAAATCACCTTTGGGGCTGGTATTTTCAATGTCCTGTCTTTACACGGTGGAGTTTTCTTATTACTTTTGAGCAAAATGGCTTAAACAAATTTTAATGCAAGAAGAGAAGAATGCTGTTTCACATCCCTCCCCACACACTAATTTTATAAAGAGGTGTAAAAGGTCTGCTGCCGTTAGGTGTGCCATGCACATGACCCTGCAGTCCGTGTTCTGCGAACAGATGCAGTTACACGGGAAGGAACCAGACCAGCTCTCCGGCGTGGAGGTCCGGTGTCTGGGAGCAGGACTGGGGTGGGAACATCTCCTTTCTCAGTCCATCTTGCCCAGGTCCAGCTAGTGACAGCTGAGGCTTGCAGTAGTGTAGCAGGAGGTGGTTAGAAGAACTGAATAATTGGGGTTTTTTCCCAGTTTGACCAAGTGTGGCAGGGCTGAAGCACTGACATGCTGTGACTTCACGTGCTGTGTCTTTTTCTGCAGACATGTATGACCAAGTGCTCAAGTTTGGTGCCTACATTGTGGACGGCCTGAGAGAGTATCGTCAACCCGTGCTTATTTACATCCCACCGCAAGCGGAGCTGAGAGGAGGATCCTGGGCTGTGATCGACCCTACCATTAATCCCCGTCATATGGAGATGTACGCAGACCGAGAAAGCAGGTATGGCAGCTTTCTCCTCCCTCTGTAACCACCTGCTTTGAGGCATAATTACCTGGCTGAGTGAGAAGCTCTCGGTTAGAGCGTGGCAGTTTGTACTGAACGGGACTGACCGCTTTCCAGTTGCAGTCCGTGTCTCGGAGGAGTTTACTGTGTAGTGATCACAACTAGGACAATTCGGGTAGTCCCCTGGCTCCGACTTAGGGGTGACTTTGGTAGGTTCTGTGAGCCAGCCTCTGTGAAGGTTCGTTACTGACATTCAGAAAGCACAGTGAGATGCTGGTGCTTAGGATTTTTTTTTTTACCGTTCTTATATTTCCACACGCTGCTTTGCTCTTTGAAACAAGTGCCTGTGTATACAACTTTGCAAATTAAATAAATGTAAGTAAGTGTGTACTTTAAAATCCCTGAGTGTTTGACTATCTGTCATGTGGGCACTTGGGTAGTTGCACTTTTTTAATTAAATACAACTTGCATAAGTGAAGTTCTAGTTACTGGTGGTTCAGGATATGAAACTATGGGCAAACTCTTGGAAGGAGGTTTTTAAAAATATTTTAAAGAATCTCTAAAAAATAGAGATACTGAATCATTTGAAGGAAAAAGCCAGCCCTAGCTGCGCTATCTGTAGTAGACAGAAGGAGGGTGTATAGAAGGACAGCATGAATATTGTGCTATCAGGGCGTCCTCTCAACTCCTGCCATCTCAGCAGGGCAGAATTCCCAGGCAGCTGCTCCAGGAGAAGAACGAAAGCATTCTGTGGGGAGGAGTTGAGAAGATGCCCGTTGCAGGTGCCCCTTTCCCTTGCCCTTCCCTTCCCAGCTGAATTTTGCTCCTGATTAGATGCCTGCCTGCCCCTCTGTTCTGCCGAAGCGAGACAGAGACCTGTGGTCTGTTGGCCTCGGTATTTCCTGCGTCTTGAGCCAACATTGTCTAATCTTCAGTTCCTGGAAGTCAGAAGGTTTTTCTGTTCTTTTCCTACTTAGAGCCTGTTTGCTTCCCAGTCAGAGACAGTGTGAGCAGGATTTCTACAAACTCCAGCCCCCACCAAGTGTGTTTTGGGGGGCATGCTGGAAGAACTCCTTCCCGCTGCTGCTGCCCCATACCTTTCTAGGATGCCGGCAGTGTGAGCTCACCTCTTGGAAATCTCAAGCCAGCTCCCCACCATGGAAGATGTCAGGAAGGACCATGTGTGGTTTGCAGAGCTGTAGTTGGACTCTAGAGGTCTTGAGCTCCAGTAGCCAAGAAAGAGATTATTTTGCAAAATATGTCATCCTGTCCCTAAGTACCATTACGCATTTGTAATAATTCTCATTGCTTTTGCTGTTCCATAACCCTCAGCACTGACCTTCCTCCTTGTTGTTACTCCTGCCTTCGCAGTTACAGACTGAAGTGATTTTTATTTACCAAGCCTAAGTTTCAAATCACGTGCTCCTCTCTCTTTGACCTGGGAAGTGGGCAGGATCTCTAATGAAAATGACTGGTTAATTGGCTCGTTTCATAAAGCTTACCTACCTTTTGAAAGAGCTTTCAGGTCACAGCTGAAAAGGGGCTGCCAAAGAGCATTGCTTGTACCAGGCTGTGCTATATACTGTTGGACAAAGATGTTTCTGTGAAGCCTGGTTTGCATTTGTGGCATTGGATAAATAATAGCTAAGATTCTTTCTTTCTTGTTCTCTCTTTCTCTTTGTTTTGTCTCTCTCCTCCCCTTCTCTTCTCTTTTTTTTTTTTTAACATACTTCCTAGATAACATTGAACCATTCCATTTTGTTTCCCTTTGTCTGATGACCTGAAAGTGCCTTTCTTTTCTCTTTTCCCATCACTGATCAGAGGAGGAATCCTGGAACCAGAGGGGACGGTAGAAATCAAATTCCGCAGGAAGGACCTGGTGAAGACGATGAGGCGAGTGGACCCCGTCTACATCGGCCTGGCAGAGCAGCTAGGTACGTTTGCGCGGGGGCTGGCGGAGCAGTGATCCGTTCAGCGGGTGGCTAATGAATGTGTTTATAGACCTTAAAAAGGGGCACTGAGGCATTTTATCAAATTCATGATAATTTTTATTTACCGTCATCTAACTTGGGAAGAAAACCAGATGAGACAAGCTGCATGTATGTACATGTGAGAGCGCTGATACGCATGTGCAGTTAGCATACCTAGAGTATGGGTAATATAGTCTCCTTGTGAACGGATTTATTTTTTCTTTTTTTTTTGTAATCGAATGAGTCTTACAACAGACACTTAACTACAGGTACTTGAGTCTAGTTTCCATCTCAGCAATTGCTCAGCTCACTAAAAGCTCGTGGGCCAAACCTTCAGCTGGTGTCATTTGGTGTAACTAAGAATTTGGTCAAAGACATTTTGGGTTGCTGGACTATCGCTGTGTGTCTGAGGTAGCTTTGAGTAATGATATCTGCCTGCTCTTCAGTTTCAGAAAATAAAAAACATTCTTCTCCTCAGTAAAAGACGGGGTGATCTGCAGTGCTCAGTGGCTAGCACATCACTGCGTGTGTTGTATTATTACGGTGTCTTCGTTCCAAATGATCCCAGCGCCTGGTATACACCCAAGAACCCAAAATACAGGCTGTTCAGTAAAACGCACTTAATATCAGATATGTACTCTCTCGGGGGAATAGACTCTTTAAATAGTTCTTTACTAGCTCTTACTATAAGAGTATAATCTTACAGAGCCTCTTTTTACCTCCAAAATTGACTACATTTCAGTAGTGGAAGAAGCATGCTACGTGGGTATGGTTTGAATTTATAAAGCCTTTTGGGATCCTTCAGGAGGAAAAGTGTTCTGCAAATGACTGATAAATCGTGGCTATTGCTGCAGTTACATTTTATTATTTGGCTTTTTTTTAATTTATGGCCGTGCAACAATTTATATACAAAACAACCATTCTGATATGCCTTGGGAAGAGAATAATAATTGTAAAGGGTGCAGGGAGTGTTGAGAGTCAGACTGCTTGCTGAAAACCAGGTTCTTACTGATGTCTTTGATAGCATCAAAGACGTTTTCTCTCTCTCTTTTTTTTAATGATAGTATTTTGACACTCTCTTTGTTTTCTCTGACTGTGCCGATTGCTTTCTGGGCAAGAAGGTTAGCAGGTGTTTGAGTTTTGCAGACCAGCACAAGGCAGCAGTTTTATCTGAGTTCAGATCTTGCTCACGTACATTATGTGTTACTGCGTGAGAGAGCGGACACAGATACCCAGATAGATGGATGTGGTGTGCTGTCTGCCTGTGCCTGTTGGAATTAAAAACCAGTTTTAATGTTTGTAGTTGCAGCAAGGAGATGCTTTTCACAAAACCTCACTTTTGACCTGTGTTAGACTTGACAGCATCCCTTTAGGAGCAAAAGGATAGCGCGACTGCACCAAATGATGGAGACCCAGCACGGGGTCCCACCAGATGCTCTCCTAAGGTGTTTCACAGTTAAGATTAAAGGCTGCAGTCTTGTTCCTTACGCAGTCGGGACTTGGCTACACCTCCGGCGGGTGTTTGTCTGCACCTCCGCGCCCGATGCAGGAGAGCGGCCTCTCCGCTGTGCGAGTCTCCGAGGGCAAAGAGAAATCAGATGTGTGGTTGGGGAAGGCAATATGCTGAGCCGTCAGCTCAGGTCCATGCAGATAAATGGCACTACAGCAGGAGCACTGCTGCTGGGAGTATTTACCTTCGCCCCACCATGAAAAGCACTGGCTCTGCTGACGAGCAAGCCAACCTCCAGCCTCCGCAAAGAAACGGAGTCTGCCGGTGAGTCCTTTCCCTGGAGCAGAGTCGCTGGCTGCGGACAAAGTCTTTAAATCCTGGAACGGTGGAGGAAGGGGGGGAGCAGAGCAACCCGCATGTTCGTTGTCGGGTGGCCCCTCCGGAGGGGCTGTCGGTGGGGTGGGTGCGGGACACCTGCAGGGCACCCGTCAGTCACCCCCCTGGGACCTGCACCAGCACCACCAGAAAAAACTACAGGGAGAAAGAGGGGATACAGTTTTCTGCCAGCAGTCTCAAAAATCCAGCGCCAGGCTATGAGAGGAGGCAGGAGCCTGTTCAGGGTTTGGTTTTTTTTTCCCCCCTCTTCCTCTACAGGGTAATTACTCCCAGCAAACTCCATACACTTTAATTAAAATGACTGCGACACAAGAGCAAGTCACTTACAACTGTACATACAGAGAGCTCTAAAAGCTTCAGTCACTGATAAGCATCTCACTCAGATGGCTCGTAATTGCTCCCAGCATCGGGCGATCATTGCTGTTGTTTTGCCACTAATTCCGCACCATAGCAGGAAAGCCGAGATTGCAGGACACAGTGAATTGCATAATTTTTTTTTTTTTTTTTTCTGGTTTTCTTTCTGGCCAATTTAAAATTTGTCAAAGTCGGTCTTCTTCTGGATCACTGCCCTTTGATATTTCGCGCACTCCATTTGCCACAAACAAGCCGCAGGGCCGCAGTTCATGCTGACTCCAGCAGAAGCAGAGAAAGCTCCATTTATCTTACACTGCCTGCTGAATTCTTACTCATTAGCTGGGGGTTCACTGCCTCTCTTTAACCCCTGAATGGCTGTCATCCCTCCCTGGAGCTGCTGAATAGCGGGGGAAGAGGGAGATGCTCTCCAACGTGTGCCTGTTGCGGAGGGGTGGGGAAGCTGGGCCATGGTGGTCTCATCCGAGGCGGCTTGAGACGCTGGGGTTGGACTCGCAATTGGGGAGTGTGAGAGCAGAGGAGGCTGGCAGATATTGAATAATTTGACATAAATCTGTTCATTATCAATTCGCCGGCACTATTGCTGAAATGTTTATTAGCCCCATGTTTTATTAAAATGTCACTCAGTTGTGCTATTACAAACCAGCAAACGGTGCGGAGCAAAGGGCAAGGAAAGAAAGGATAGCCCTTGTCCTGCCCAAGAGCACGTTTCCAGGCTGAGGAGGGGTGCAAGGAGAACGGCGATTGCCTAGAAATGTAGGAATAATTCCGACTGCAAGCCTCAGGCCGTAGTTAAAAAATATGTAGATTCGATTTTATTTATTTATTAGAGTAAAACGTGTAGGAGTGGAATAAAAATTAGCTTTGTCATGCAGATTCTGGGCATGTAATGTGTCAGATGGACAGTGTAATGTATGGAAAAATTTGGTGGAATATGAATGAAAGGAGTGGAAAAATGGCTCCAGTTAGAGTAAGATTGGATATTACATTTTCACATTTCTCCTATCAGGTATTTATCTCATAGTAAAAGGGAAGCATCTGTTCATCACCTGATCTATGTTGTAATAGTGTGAATATCCTCTTCAACTGATCCTGTGAAATAGTTGCCCGTGTGCTGGCATGCGTCTTTAATTTTATTTGAAATCATATGCCCATTTTGCATTTGCCTGTATAGACTGTACAGGGTGCAGGAGCGGGCGCACACAGCCCCACACGTACAGCGGCGCTTTGGGAAGTCGGAGGCAGCGGCTGTTTTCTGGACAAACTCCGGTGCTGTAGGCAGCCCCCAACTTCCCACGGGTGCCCTTACCCCTCAGCCTGTGCCGCTGGCTTCTGACTTGCATCGCACTTTATTTGGCAAAAGAGCGTGCGAAACTTTTCTTAAACTCCCAAATAATGAGTGAACGCTCAAGCACTGAACCCACATCTCCACTTTAGCGGAGCAGTTCCTCTCTGAAAAGAAACGTGCCGGGGTGCGGTACCAGAATGGAACCCGCAGGTCCCTCTCGGCCCAGACTGTGCCACCTGGTGAGGACTTTGCTGGTGGCCTGGGGACAGCCCTGATGCCGCCTTGTGTCTTGAGCGGCTGAAAACTTCCATCCTGTGACCTGTCTCCTTCCAAGCTTTAGCTTGGAAAGTTAGATTGCAGCTCTAAAGTCTAATAATCCTTTTCGGGGGGCAGGGAGGGATGGTGTTTGTTCAGTGTTGTAATTAATCAAAATGCCAGTTGTTTTCTTGAGCAACAACTAAGAAAAATGCTGCTGTTGCGATTCCATCTCTCATGAAGTCTTGGACAAATGCAGTCAGTGTGGTTGTAACTTTGTCTTTTTAGGCAATGCTGATTTCGAGTAACTGCTTCTATATGCAAGTGCTGCTGCATTTAAATTGTTGTTAATTCACGATCATGAGTCTAGAAAAGCAAGTACTGCTTTCTGTCTGCTCTTTCATGACAATTGGCATCTTGAATATCCTCCCAGGAGGGCTGTTGATGTTTCCCCCCAAATAGGTATTTTTTGGAATGACGTACCTGCCACACTTTGCCCGTTTGCTCTGATGCCAATATGAGGCCTTAGGAGCAAAGAGTTGGAAAGGACTAGGGTGGAACATCACACGATGCGGTTGTACAAGGATATTTCAAGCCCGTGTCATGAGCATGTGTGACCTTCACTGCTATTTCATATTGCACCTTTATAACATAAATCCTACTGAATATTTAGTGAAGCAATTACAAGCAGTCTCATTTAAAGAAACAAGCGACAATCCAAAAATGCCTGTCTCTCCCGGAACGTGCGTGGCTCCGAGTGACCTTCCTTCTCCCCTCTGGAGCGGCTCCCTCCAGCTGGGGTGGGAGATGTGCTGCCTGGGCAGCCGGGATGCGGCTGGCATTCTTGCTGCCTTTGCTGAATTTTTGTCTGGCAAGAGCTTTGTAAAAGGCAGGGGAAGAGCAGGTGAGATTCAGGTAGGAGGATTATTGTTGTAGGTGTGTAAATTAAGTGGGACAGTCATACCCAGGGTTAAAATCGACATTTAGTTAGGTCACTGGATGCAGAGCAAGTGGTATACTTCTCCAGAGTTCATTTCCTAAGGAGCCTTCCAGCACATGCGGCAGTGGGATTTAACTGCTTTGCTGAAAAGAATGGCCACAAGCAGATGACAAAATAAATTGAACTTAACGTGGGGTTTTTGTTGTGTTAGCTGGGGAAAAATAAAATCCCCAAATTTGCCTGTAGTAATTGTAACATTGAGG